GGCCCAGCCAAAACGGTGAATAATTAGTGATTTTTTTTGCAATATGTAAGAATATTCGTCTAACACAAATATGCAGACATTCCAGAGTGTGGAGTTGGCTACATATGTGTTCAATGCTGGTTATTTGAAATGTCCGATACTAGGTGCCACTTTGTGAAATCATATTTTTTGTTACCAAAGTTTGCGTTTTTGTTAATTTAGTTTGATTTCTAACTTTGTTATCTAACATAAGTCATAATTTAATAAACATTTCGTAAAATATTTTTTGATTTATTTATAAATAACCTTAAGTGTCCGGCACTCGGAGACTTCCCCCTACCTAAAAACCACCAGGCCTCAAACCTGGTGCGGTCTAATAGAAATAAATTAAATAAAATGGAAATAAAATAAATATGAATTATTAGAAGTAAGGCTTAATAATTTTATATTTAATTTTATTTTATTCTATCTCGTCGGTTTATTGGTATATCCAGATTAATAAAACAATAGTTTATATTCTAAAGATAGGACTATAATAAGACACTTTTTTATTCGCATTTTTTTTGATATTATTATATTCTGACTATCAATTTTAAGATTTTGCATCTCATTGTCAATTTATTAAATCTTAGGATATGTTTATAGTCTCGGTTGCTTTTATTGCTTTTGATGGCTAGATTACCGGACCTTTAAAAGCTTTAATAATTTTTACAAAACATAAAATCACTTATAATAAACTTCCCGTAGAGAATGTTGTTGAAATAATAAAAAATGGTTCATAATATTTGTTTGAAATCTTTACGTTGCAATAACTTGTGTTGGTATGCTTTTGTGAATCAATGAGATCGTTTGAATCAACTATGTTGTAAAATGATTAGATCAATTGATAACGTGAATTGTAGAAAAAGTTCGTGATCCAACGAGGTGCTGGAGAACTTGGTTAAAATTGTTTTTGTGCTGATAATGCTAAAGGACCAGATATAATTAGTTAAGGTGCCGATACACTGTAGAGTTTTGGCTAGAGTCGCTCTAGCTAGAGCACTAATAGAGCGCTCTATATAGAGTCCCATAGTGTACACAGCTACTAGAGCACTCTAGCGAGAGTCACTCTACACTCTCCGTAGACAATCTCGCTAGACAAATGATATTCAGTGTACACAGGGTCTCTGCACAACTTTCACGCTCTAGCTATTAACTCTAGCATTATTCAACTTGTTGGATATTTTTTTGTACTATACGTAGAGTTTTTTTTGTTTTGCTTTGCACTGGTTTGTTTGTGTTCTCAAGAAAAGTTGTTTTTTTGATTTTGGAAAATGGAAGCATTATGTGATGAAGAACAGTGCGAAAAGTTTGTTTGGGAGAAAAATAAATAAAATAGAATAGAAATTTTATAAATAAATAGTACAAAAAATGTTTTTGAATTATTAACTTCCCGTAGGGCAAGTTATAGTAATCGCAAAAAAATCGAAAATGAAAATTTTTATAGATCTTTACGTTTCAAAGGTTTCTGAACATTTTGGCATACTTTAGAAAAAATGGAAGTATGTGTGTGTATGTGTGCGGATACAAATTTTCGTCGACGATTTCGGGAACACCGATCAACCGATTTAAATAATTGAAGAAACATTCGATTCATATTGATAAGGAGACGTGCTGATTAGTTTTTTGCGAAGGCAGGTCTAGCCGTTCCGAAGATACGGGGCAAAAAGTGCCGAAAATGGTAGCTCAGTTTTTAAGAGAACGGAGCGTCCGATTTGAATAATTCAAAAAACATTTTACTTGTATTGATAAGATTAAGAATTGATCAAATTTTCATGAAGGCAGGTCTAGCTATTTCGGAGATCTAAAAAAAAAGTAAAAAAAAATGGCGGTCAAAAATGATCATTAGACATATGCAAATCAAATTATCAGATATTTTATAGAAATTTTAACAATAAGTATATATTTTGTTTATATTCCGATGGGTTCCCTACCAATGTTTATCCGTTAGACAGCGACACGGCGCTTACGCGCTTTATATTTTGTCTCTATACAGTTAGAGCAGTACGATTGCATTGAAAAAAAAGTTCAGATCTTCCAAAATATGTCAAAATGAAGAAAATGTTTTTTTTGCAAAAAAAATTAAAAAAAAAATTTTTTTTGAATTTTTTTTTTGAATTTTTTTTTCAAAAAAAGTAATGTTTTGTCCAATTTATAGTTTCTCAAAAATCTTATTTTTTCGAAGTAAAATTTTTTCAAAAATGTTAATCGTTTTTAAAAAATATAATAATTTTTTGCACGGGAAGTTCCAGCAATTTGCCTTAAGGCACGATGCCTTAATTGCCTTAAGACAGAATTCCACTTACAGCTAGTTTTGTTTTGCTTTGTACTGGTTTGTTTATTTATCTATGTAGGTTAGGTTTGCTTATTACTTCTATAGTCTAGTTGTCAAAGTTACACTCTACCTAGATTAATATATATTAATATATTTAACCACAAGTGTACATAGCTTTTTAGAGTGTCTAGGTAGAGTTGCTCTAGCACCTCTCACCTACTTCTCTCCTAGAGTACGAAAGTGCTCTCGGAAGAGAAAAACACTTTACAGTGTACAGACAACGGTAGTGCGCTCTAGCTAGAGAGTCTACACTCTACCTAGATTTTTCTCTACAGTGTATCGGCACCTTTAGTGTTTATATCAGACCATTAAAAGATGACGTTTAGTTTATTAAAATGTTGTTCATTTAGATCAAGGCTTCTTAAACTTTTTTATAAAGCGACACCCTTCAAGCTTAGGAAATTTTAAACGAATTTTAAACAAATAAAATATATATTAACCGTATATGTAGATGTAATATCGCACTATTTTACGATGTAAATAAAATAAGGATTAAAGAATATGTACCTATTCATGTCACACACACACACACATATATATATATATATATATATATATATATATAATTGGAAACTATATATATTCAATAGAAAAAATAAACTTTTGGAACAATTTCTTTATAAGGAAACATAAAACTATATCTATATATACAATAAAAAAAATAAACTTTTGTAACATTTTTATTAATGAGAACATATTATTAACATCAAACAATATTAATGTGACGGATGTGATGGTTATTTTCACACAAATAATTAAATCTAGGCTCAATTTGAGTTAGTGCAGATCGTAATAAATGTTCGTTTATTAAGGGGTTTGTTCTTTTTTTATTTTTTTGTTTCGGTTTTGAGATTTTTTGATATTATGAAAGCTAAAAACTTTAGAATTATTTAAAAAAAAAATCATCTCATTATCTATTTTTTGAGGAAGTTATAGATATATATATCTCTCTACGTATGATCCTCTTAAAGCGTTTTTTTATCGTTCCGCGAGCTATTGTATGTCAGCTGCCTCTTTTTCATTATAATACCTCATGCACATGACCTTTTTAATGTGTCAGCATCTTTGAACACCATGGTGTATTTCGTACATTAAATTAAATGGTGTATTTAGTACATTATATTAAAAAAAATGCGGTGCCACAAATTAAAAAAAACTACAAGTCGGATCGACTTGCATTTTTTTTTAATTTGTTCACCACTGCAATACCTAGTCCCCCTACCTCAAACAACTTGATAACATTACGCAAAAAAATTTGCGAACCTTCTCGTCAAAGGCCTTTTTGGACACTTTTTTTTAAATGGCTGCCATTTTTTTCCTTCTTGCTTTTTTGCTTTCATTCTGGTAGGGGGACTGGATTTAAACTTCTTCTTCAACGTAGTTTTGTTTTTTTTTGTTTCAGGCGATGCGCAACGGATTTATCTGTGGCACCGCAAAAGAGATCGATTTTGCAATGCCCAATTTGGCGCTCCCTGGTTAAAAAATGACGGGGAAACAAAAAAAATAAAAAATGTCTTAATATTCTATGATTTTGTAATTTTTGTTTAAAAAAAACCGCATGTCTTTATGATGAATACATTTCGAGAAAAACAAAAACAAATATTGCATGTTTTGTAACAAAAAAAGAACAACCCCCTTAAAGCTTATTAAAGTCTATTAAAGTTAATGTGGAAAAGGCTTATTCACACAAATATGTTGCACAAAATGGCAGTAATTTGTTTATTGCCGATTTATTCCGATTTGATTTCTATCCAAAATTCATGCACAGACACTTGAGTAGTAAATCGTAAAAATCTGAGTCGCAAGGTAGTATCACTTGTTAATTCGGCAAATTCTTCTTGTGCTTTTAAGTTTAAAAAATTAATTTCTTCCATTTCAATTGAAAATGGATTGCAAATCCATTGTTATGTATCGATATCATTGGGAAAATACCTATGCATGTAAACTTCCATATCCTTCAAATGATTAACTATAATTTTTGTTATAGGAGTATCTTTTTTTGAAATATTGTTATTAATTATATGCTCATCAGTAAATGGAAACATGTCGAGCAATCCACTTTCCACTCTGTTTTTCCATATTAAAATTATTTTAACAAAGGCCTCAGGTTTATTTTTTAACATAAACATCATTGATTTTATCAAAAATATCGGCCAAATAGCATAGCTTGAGAAGCCATGAATTATCGTGAAAATAATCGGCCTAATAATACTAATTTTAAAATTTTGTTTATGATGATTGAAAAGTATCAGACCTTTGCGACCCTCTTCAGTAGTCTCGCGAGCACCCTAGGGTCGCGATCCACACTTTTAGAAGCCCTGGTTTAGATAACGTGACCATACTTACCGCTTTGGTCGGGACAGTCCCGGATTTCCACCTTGTGTCCCGGGTTGTTTTAAAAGCATTATTTGTACCGGATTTAGATATTTCGTCCTGGTTTTTCGCAAATTATCAAATGAATTAACAAAAATTATGAAAACAAACAAACAAATGTTATCCATGACTCCATGCCTCGCAGCGCTCGACGCAGCCAGTATAAAACTAATACTGGTTTACTTTTATTCGTATTTGCATTTAAATAAAACACCGAAATATAAGTGAACCTATATTATATGATGCAAATTCGAATAAAGTAAACCATTATTAGTTTTATACTGGCTACGTCGAGCGCTACGACACATGGAGGCATGGATAAGGTTAAAAGACAGGTACAGAAAAATTCTACCATCATAGAAGCTGGCAACATGGGTTTTCTCGTTACTTGGCATCTGAGGTAAAAAATTTTAAAGATAGTTGGCGGTCCTCAAATTATGAATACTTGATGCCCTACAGAACCCGCTTTATTTTTAAAACTTTAGTAAAGTTAGGTAAGCTGTTTTGGCGGTTTGATGGAAAAAGAACAGAAAAGGGTTACTTTGGTGCGATTATTATTTGCTCAGTTCGGAAGAAGAAATAATGGACATTGTCATGCAATCGTATCCATTAACAAACTGACGAAATAATTTTATTTAATGATGTTTGATACTATTCAATATCAGTTATTAATTTATTGATCATATTCTCAGATTAAAGCGTTCGAAGATCCGAGTCATATTGGGCGATCACGACCAATTTTCGACGACGGAAACGCAGGCCATAATGAGAGCTGTCTCAGCAATTATCAGACACAGAAATTTCGATGCCAATTCGTATAATCATGACATAGCTTTATTGAGACTGCGAAAACCTGTCACATTTGGTAAGCAAAATATTTAAAAATAGCATCATTTTATAAGGTAGGGCCAGCGGTGGCGATATCGGTTAGAGCGTGGGCTAGCACCAACTAGTCCCAGGTTTGCTGGTTCGATTCCCGCTACCGCCAAGCCTGACATCAGGCAACTTTGATGTCGAATTTCCACTAAGGGTTATAGATCACAATATAATTCCAAGTGGAAATCGTCCTTCGTGGACATAGTTGCATACAATCATACGCACACTATTAGACATAAGAGCTAATATATAAAAAAACACACATAGGAGAATGATCACCGATGGGTTGCTTCTCATATCAATACCTTAGGTCATAAGTCATACACAAAAACAGCTTATAGCACAATAATAAAGAGTTCTAATTGCTGTGGAAACAATAAAAAAAAAGTTATAAGGTACACACATTATAAGGTAGAGTAGGGTTTAAAAGTCCGCGGGTAAAAAGGTCCACTACCGATATCTCAAAAACAAAAAAAGTTGAAAAAAAATTAACAACAATATTTAAAAACAGAAAAAGAAAGATGTATAACCAGCTATTCTTACAACGTCGCTATCAGCAGACAAACGTTTCTTTCGTAGTTATTATTTTGATTGCAAGCAATGTTGTTCAGTTTTGAACTATACGTTATTAAAATATTTTATAAAATATAATATAATAGTATTTGAGATACTATTAAATTCAACAGTTTTTTATATATAACCTCTATAAAATCTCATATACAGCTGGGTTAAAAAAGACCATCTGAACCTTCATCCTCACAAAGGCGTAAACAATAGAAAAGTAAATTAAGTTAAAAAAAGGTAATTTTACAAGATAAATTGAATAAATAGTTATTTCAACTCTGCGGATAAATATTTTTGACAAAATATTAGATCAAGGTTACATACAGTGTGTTATCTGTATAAAAAATGTACCCATAAAATATTTAATAGTTTTCTGCGAACGTCGATGTGTTTCTGAATATATTATGTAAATTTTATGTAATAAAGAGTAAATATAAGTTAACGTTAAAAAAATGTGTTTCATTGTTAAAAAGAAAACTCTCTAACGTTTGTGATAGCGGTGACTGCCAAAAGTATCATTTATTTTTTTTGTTCTGCTTGAATGAATGACCAGATGCAATCAATAGAAAAGTGCTACTTCAAGAAACGGTAGTTAATTGCAAAAAATTGCTTACGAGGAAAGCCTCATCAAATCACAAAATTTGTCGCAAATTGAAGTGAATATTGAAGTTGATATATAAAGTTTCAATAAAAGAATTAAAAATATAATCATATATCAAAAATACACACACACAAACATAATATATATATATATATATATATATATATATATTTATATATTAGGGTGGTCCTTAATATGGACATTTTCGAATTTTTTTGCTCCCAAAGGCTCAGATGGATCCAAATTGAGAAAAAACAAATCGCTGAAAGTTTTAGCTCTTAATATTGTCTGAAACCATGGTATGCCTCATCTTCAGTATAATTTCAAAAACAGTTACTTATATACTACATATTCTTTAATATATTATTTATATTACATTTAATTTTTGAAATACAAAAAACACCAACTATTTTTTGCAATGCTTGACACAGTACTAAAAAACATGTGACACTTACAGAAATATTCTAAACAAATCTGAAGTATCTAGCTAGGTGGAGACAGGATGGGCATTATTATATTGCAAACAAAAGGAGTGCGATCGCATACAAAAATCAATAAATATGAAAACAGATTAATTTATTGAAGAAATAAGATAAATGAAAAAATTATAAATTAATAATGATGTTATATAAGTGCCGTGTAAAATATTTGTGTCGGTTCTCAAATTTACGCTATTGTTAGTCCGAACTATTAACATTGATTCTGCCACGCTCCGTTTAAAAAAGTCTTTTCATGGAACAAGATTTGGGGATTGTCAAAATCAAACTTATGGTTGTTGATATTAGCATGATCCACAAGTGTACTTCTAAATTTTTTGTTATCTAATCTATTTTTTCGCATTGTAATTCATGCTGCCTGAGTCTTTTTTCTAAGTTCTGGCAAGTCTCGCCAATATAAGAGCAATTACAATCCAAACAATTTACTTTTTAAACTATATCTTTCTTTTTCTTAAAGGAGTTTCGTCTTTAATGTTGGAATATAAAAATTTTAATTGTTTCAACAAAGAAAAAGTAATATGAATATTGTGTTTTTTGAATAGTCTTTTTGATAATTGGTTAAAAGTATTGTCAAGATATGGAAAATTAATGAAAAAAGTTTTTTCAGGAACACGTGTTTGGCCATGATCTTCCGGTTTCTTATCAAAAGGTTCAAGTAATTTAGCGACTCTGTTTTTAATAATTGGACATATTAACTTGTATGAAAAATTATTGCCAAGTAAGAACGTTTTAACTAATTTTATGTTTGTGTCATGAAACGAAGGATTAGATAATAAAATAGCGTGATCTACAAGATTTAAAATGGTAGAAATTTTTATATTGAGAAAAACCTGTGAATTAAAGTTAATAGTACATTAACCCGGGAGATTGAATTTTACGGTTTATTAAAATTGCATGAAAAGCTTACAAAAGTGTACAGATAATTAAATAATTGCTTACAAAAAACCATACATAATCGAGACTCTAATGTGCGTTTGTGGAATCAAAAAAATGTCTTACATTTCAATCAAGATATAGAAGCGAATATGGAATCGGACAGTAAACCATCAGAAATCCCAAAACTACGAAAGACCGTTATTGGATCCAGCAAATACAGCAAGATACCTCGCGAAGAAGGTCGGACCAATATGTTTACATCGGAAAAGGTCTCGCTGCGTTCAACTTCATCAGTTTCTGACTCAAGACAGGAAGTAATATCATCTAGTAATAGTGCATCTACAAGCCTCACTCAACCACATTCTGATGTCAAGAAACCTCCTAATTCATGGCAAGTAGTCAATTTCAAAAAAAGAAAAACTTCATTTGAACCATTAGGAATAGATGTCAAAATTCAAACCGATTTTCGGGCCTTTCAACAATAGAAACAGCTAATGATGACAACTCAGTTAAACCGGCTCCAGTCAGTAAGCCCCCTCCAATATTTATTTACGGAGTTGACGATATTAATGATATGTCTAATCAATTAAATGAAATAATTCCGCACGATCAATATTTCCTGAGAAGTTTAGCTAACAATACATTTAAAATTCTATGTAATTCTGTCGACCATTTTCGAACTTTATCCAGACATCTAAAAGAAACTAATGCCGTATATCATACATATCAATTAAAAGAAGAAAGGCTTATAGGGTTGTTCTTAGAAATGTACACTTTTCAACAAGCACAGATGCAATTAAATTAGAACTATTAAAACAGGGTCATGTCGTACGTAATATCCTAAATATTAGACATAGAATAACAAAAGAACCTCTTAATATGTTTTTTGTTGATCTGGAACCAAATAGAAATAACAAAAATATTTATAACATTTATAAATTATTCAACTGCATAATACGCGTCGAACCACCGAGAAAGTCCAACAACATTATACAATGCACTCGCTGTCAACTCTTTAATCACACCAAAAAATACTGCAATAGACCATTTGCTTGCCTAAAATGCGGTGACAATCATAATACTATAGCTTGTACCAAAGATCCGAATGCTCCGGCATGTTGTTATTTTTGCGACGGTGCTCATCCAGCTAATTATCGCGGTTGCTCATACTTCCAAAAAATTAAAGAACAAAGAAACAAAACTCCAGTAAATCAATCAGTCATAAATCCAAATCCAAATAACCAAAATTTTAAAAATTCTAATAATTCTAATTCTAATAATAAAATAAACAACATTTCTCCGGCCTTAAATCCAACAATTCAAAATTCATCCTATGCAGACATTGCAAAAAACAATTACTCTGCTTCTAATCATTCACCTTCAAATCCTGATTCTGATTCTCTAGCAACACTTATTTTAGAATTTAAAAATATCTTCAATCAGCTTTTGCAACAGAACACCATAATAATAAATATGTTATCCACGTTAGTCAACAACAAAAGCAATGGCAAAAATAATTAAAATTGCTGAATGGAATGCCAACGGTTTAATACCTCACAAAAATGAAGTAGAATGTTTTTTAAAGTTAAACTTAATAGATATCTTATTAATCTCAGAAACTCACTTCACTGAAAAAAACTACTTCAAAATTTATAACTACACTACTTATAATTCAAATCACCCAAGTGGCAGGGCTCGCGGCGGTTCGGCTATATTAATCAAAAATAATATAAAGCATTTTGTTCTACCAAATATTTCTGATGATTTTCTACAAGCAACTCAAATTTCTGTTGAAACAAATTTATATAATTTTTGTGTTTCTGCTGTTTATTGTCCACCAAGATTCAAAATTTCTTGTGCTCAGTTTTCTTCATTTTTCTCTCAATTAGGTAATAAATTTATCATTGGTGGTGACTTTAATTGTAAACATATTGCCTGGGGTTCTAGACTGACTACAGCCAAAGGAAAGATTCTTCATGCAGCCATAGGGCAAAATAACCTCTCCTTTATTTCAACTTGCAGTCCAACTTATTGGCCTTCTGACCCTACTAAAGTTCCAGACCTTTTAGATTTTTTTATTGTGAAAGGTATTGATCTTTCAAATCTCAATATTGAATCTAGTTACGATCTCTCTTCAGATCATTCTCCAATACTTGTGACGTTTAGCACATTTCCTACTCCAGTTATCAACAATCATATTCTACACAACAATCTTTCTAACTGGATTCAATTCAAATCCATACTTGATTCAAAATTATTTCCAAAATCTAGGCCTACAAGCGTTATAGATATAGAAAATAATATAGATTATTTTTCTGTGATTGTACGTGAAACAACCAAGCAGATCACCCCGAACATTAATCCAAGAAATGATAATCTAATAATTCCGCAAGAGATTAAGAAGCTAATTGCACAGAAACGAAGAGCAAGACGAACCTGGCAACATTCTCA